CTATGCTATGTGTGTGTATAGTATGTGTGTATGATATGTGATAGACTATGCTATGTGTGTGTATAGTATGTGTGTATGATATGTGATAGACTATGTATCGTGGTTGTGCTATCTGGGGTGGTATCTCTGTGTGTGGGTGTATGTGGTAGAGACAGGCCTATCTGGACAGGACTCCCCCCAAAGTCCGACAGCGGACTTGAACATGTGACCTACAGTATGAAACTAGAGGGTTCTACCACATGTACTTCCATGGGAAGTGGATATAATGTGTGTAATGTCTGGGCTGGGGGAGATCATCAGAGCGACCAAAGCCAACAACAACTAGCAACCAACGTGAAGTCTCTAGGCCAGCATGCAACATCCATGGACTGACCCCCTGGGTGGTGCGCAGGCAGTGTCTGTAATAGTACCATGCATCAGCCCAGGGGAGTGTGTGTCCAACCGTGCTTCATTCTAATGCCCTACCGGTGTCCATATGCAAGGCTGCGGAGTTTTGAACCCGCAACCTCATACCACAATGCGCATTTCCAACCGGTGCTCTAACCACTGAGCTACATCAACTGGAATGTTCATCCAAGTTCTTTCGATTCAGGCAATTGCTATTCTCTCTCTTTTTTTTTTTCCCCCCTCACCTTTGGCTGGGTGGGATACTGGGGGTACCTTCGAGCCTCTTTTTCCTGGCACGGATTTGCACTTTTTTTCTTTTTCTTTTTTGTTTTCCACTCACGAGACTCCCATCCCACCACTCCTCTCGATATACATCTCCTGGCGCACCCCCACTCCATGTCTATCTTACCTCATGCGAGGAACATTACTCTCTACTGGAGCAACCTGACCAGACAGCGGACGCGGGCACTGAAGCTGAATGAGCTCCCCCATTCAGCCGCAGTCGAGGCACTAGCGTACAAGCCTTGTTATATGGGAACCTCGGGAGCTAGGCACATAGTTCTCAGCTAGTCCCGTGAGTGGTGAGGGCACTCATAGGCAGTGTCTAATGGTCAACTAACCAAAGTCTCAACCTATGAGTCCCTCTAAGCACTAACCTAGCACAGCTCGGATCATATATGGCTACTGTTTTTTAGTTGTTGAGTATGCTGGTTGTTATGTGAGCTAATGTGATATCATAGTCTATGCGAATGTGTGTGGTTGCTTTCTGCTACTAATGAGCCTTGCTTATGTCTGTTCGCTAGGAAGAATCAACCAGTGGTAATGGTGGAGACCTTGACCGTCGTCTAAGAACTACCCCCAACCTACCTCTGATAACCCACCACCCCGAAATGGGTCCACAGACATTGAGAGTAGGACACACCCCTTGATTCTACATTGGTTTCCCTACAAGGCAACCCTCCCCACCATAGGATTGCCACGGTATCACCATGCACCCAACCAACCCCTTTTTACGGGTCCCCCTACTCTAATCTTGCCCAAGAAAACTACCAACACCGACCAGTGTAATAAGTCCCACTCTCATCAACCATTCCTCATTCTCTGGGCAGTGTGTCGGTCTCTCAGTCCTGCATCCCACTACGTGTCACTGAGCGAGTTTGAACACACGACCTTATCCATGCAATCTACTATTGAACCTACTGAGCTACCGTGGAAACTGAACGATTTATGCGCAATATTGGACTGGAAGGCAAATGAACAATTATCCCGAAGTATGCAAGCAATAAAAAAAGAACCACTAGAACAAAGAGCATCAGGCAAACATCCCACAGCCAAACCCAACATACAACAACCATGGACTGAGACCCCTGGGTGGTGCGCAAGCAGTGTCTGCAATAGCTTACCTGCGTCAGCCCAGGGGGGTTTGCAGATGGGTATACATTATGTAAATGTCCCCGGTGCATGCGAACCCACAACCTTACGTCACAATGTACATTTCTAACCGGTGCCCTAACGAACCCACAACCTTAAGACAGCCTTGGACTACCAGGTGGGATGGTAAGAGCATCACAGCCAGGTAACCTACTGCTGAATGGTGAGATCTATTGGTGTGGAGCAGCACTTGCTGGAAACCGGGTCCAGCGTCCCATCAACAGAATTGCAAAAGAGTTAAGTCACAAGATGGGAGGTAATGTAGGCTAACAGATTGCGCATAAACTCGTTTCCAGGGAGGGAGCGGTTCTTCTTTCGCTGCTTCAAAACAGAATCTGGAATGGTTCTCTCTGTCTGAGGCCAAAGTCAACGGGGGCAAGACGGTCCTGCTCATCCCCCCTAAGCAGCCCGAGACGCAAGGATGCGGGGTGCAGGTGATTCACTCGCATGATCCTTTTTCTTTTCTTTTTTTCACAAAAGAAAACCGCCAGTGTTAGTGGTGCTGATAAGAGCAGACACCACTAGCGCCTGGGGAGAGACTCCCTCTATTGGTGGGGAGCCGCACCTGCTGGAAAACGGGTCCAGCATCCCATTATACAAGCTGAGTTTGGAATGTATCAAAACAGTGTTGTGTGAGATTCCTGCCAGCATTGATTGCCCCTGGATCCAGGGGATTGACTGAGCAGGCACTTGGCGAGGAGGGGAACCTCTTCGCCCTGAACTCGGCGCCAGATCTCTGCTGCAACACCCTAGTTCCTTTCTCCCCCTATTAATGAGTACTTTGGAGGCCTGAGTAGTAACTGAGCAAGACATCAGATTGCTCTGGACTGTAGAGGATTTACTGAGCAGGTTGCTGAATTCCTTAGTATGGAGACTAAAATCACCTATAACTGCTTGCTAGGAATTCACCTGACTCTGAGTTGCACCATTGATAGCCTCTTCACCGGTCTTAGGAGGATCGGCCAGGTGGGAAGGGGGACGAGGGGAGCAAGGCCTACGTCCAGGGGGCGACTGGAGCAAGCTACCTGATCCTCCTATTCCCGTTCTCCGTCCTGACCGGGCCCACTAAGATTGTGCTGGGCAGGTTCCACAGTGTCTCGGCCATACCAGCTGAGNTTTTTTTTTTTTTTTTTTTTTTTTTTTTAATAACAGAACCTTTTGGTGCTGGCTCCTACCAATCTGGGGATCTTGGTTTTTGGCGGCCAGGTGAAACCGGTAGGGTCTACGCCATGTCAATCTTCATGTTTTAATTTTAAGATCAGTCGTGTTCGGGACATGGTCCTCTACTGGTTACCGTCCTCTCTCCACTTCTCTCCTTCTTTCCTCTCCCTTC